TGACATTTGGTTTTTGTAGGGGCTCAATCAGTGGGTTTATCCCAATTCCGTACATAGCCATTTTCTGCATCAATAAGTAGTAAAGCGTCCGTTTCCGGTTTCTCAACCTCGTTCCTCAAACTGTGGATATGCATACACTTCTGGCCTTAGCAGAGTTGGAAATTTTTTCCGATAATTTAAAGGTCTGATTTTAAACATTGGGTGATTATTTTGCCAATTATTCTTCTCAGAACCTCGCCTATTCCAATGGGCCGTACCCCTGGATTTTGTCCAAAAGTGTCAGGCGACACAAGTTGTTCGCCGTGGGGTTTTCATGGGGAGAGTTTTACTTGCTGTTATAAAGGATAGCTTAGCAAATGTTTTGCAAGGGCCAGTGGATGTCAGGTTGAAGTGAGGCATTTTCTTTTTCCATTCGCACGCATCCAGACCTGAGGAGCTGTGGATTCCGTGCATTTTCAGGGTTGACTTTTGAACTGTCTGGCGTTTATTTGCTCGAACATAGAGGGGTAGTATGGCATTGTGTCTTCACTAATTTCAGTTATATAGTTAGTATTTGCTGTTTTGGCTTGGTGATGTTTTTCTTCCAGGATACTAAGGACTGTTTTTCCTTCAATGACTTCGTTTAGGGGAAGTACTCCTCTTGTTTTCTTGTCTGAAAGGCAGGCAATGGCGGTAGACATTTTGGAGAGCATTTGCAGTTCGTCTAGTAGGCCTTGCTTCTATAAAATTATGCGGCGGCTCAGATTTTTGGAGTTTCATCTATATGTTTCTGATTCAGGTTTGGGGAGCGGCAGATGTGGCTGAATCATTGCTGCTTTCATTGCAACGTTAGAATTTGGTGTTTCTTCTACTAATGACAACAGCTGCTGGTTCAGTAGTTCTCTGAATTGGAAATCGGGCTTGTTCTTGCTTAGTTCGTTTATTTCAATTTCAAGTTCTTGGTCGATAAGTTTTCAGGGGTCGCAGGAGGCTAAAGTGATTGCTGGGGGCGATGAATTAGATTGTGTTGCGCGGGACAGTACGTTTGTTTCGAGTGTTGCCGGTGATGTTTCTTTTTGAGTTGTGATGGGGGCTGTGCTTGTTGGTCTGATGGTTGAGTTGGACCTTTTGCAAAACTGGACCTTTTTCCGGGGTGCATTGTATGCAGGAGAACACATCGTTGTAAAATTTGCTGCTCTGTAGCCCGCTACATGAGACAAGGATGTATGCTTTGCAAAAGACACACCATATGCCTCCTTTTCCAATCGGCCTTAATTTAGCAATGAGAAGGGTATATTTATGGTGAATATTTACGAGTTGGCTGAGCGAGCAATAAACTGAAAACTTTATTACCATAAAGAAAAAAATGAATACCAATTTTACAAAACATATTGACACAAAAATTAACAATTAGGTTGGGAGAAAATTTGGATTCTTGATTGCTAAAATGTATTAATAAGACGAAAAAAAAGACTTATTTAGAGCACCAAGTTTTCTGTTTATGAAGTGATTATTTGCTCAGAGGATGGTTTTGGGGATAATAAGCACATTTCGGTTAAACTTAAAAATGTCCAGTCGTTAGCGAAGTCTGAAACCGTATATGAGTTATTCTTGAAGCCGGCTACTATAGTAACACAGTTCAGTTTCTGCTAGGGGTAGCGGTAGACAGTAGCGGTGAGTTCGGCTAGCTTTGCACCTCTGTACGAGTGAACCGTGGTTCCGGCATGTTTGGGGCTGCAGACTTAATCCTTGAGGTTCCTATTATTAGTTTGAAGAAATTTTTGCTATAAAGTAAATTTCGAACGTTTTCGCAATTATATGCCTTGTCAGGTTTTTTACAATAAACTGATTTAAATGACGATAAAACATCAATTTACAAATGTTATTTACAATAAATCACATACAATTTGGTTCTAAACCATCATGATAAAAAATTAGCCAATCACAGTTGACCTCTAATTTACTAAATTAGTTTTAAGATTAAAATACTTTTAACCTCTAAAATTAATTAAACATTTTAAAATTAATTTGTCTAGAAGTTTTTGAGTCATAATTTTGATTTAGACATGTACGTTTTAAATAAAAACCAAAAATATTTTGGGACTAAATTTTCAGTGTTAACTCCCTACTCCTAAACTCACCGCGTGTGTTCAAGCCCGGTTTCTTTTTCCTGGTATGTATTGCCTCCAGTGTTAGCAATTTTGTTTGGTTGTTTGACTTATCTATAATTTCCCAACAAAGATCTGCGCTATTTCCTTCAAGTTGGCATTGCTGAAGGTGGAGTCCTACCGGTGAGTCAGCTTTCTTATGTTCCTCAATTCTAGTGGTCAAATGTCGAACAGTTTGTCCGACATAGTTGGAAGTGCATCCACTACTTGACAGTTTATAAACCAATCTTGACTTGAGGTCATTAGAAAATGCTGACTTCAGTGATCATAAACGTGATTCTAGTTTTCTTGTGGTGAAAACCACTTGAATGTTAGTTAATTTTCGTAACCTGTTAGCAAAATATTGGCTCTGGTTACCTCTATATTGCACCATCAGCATTGGGGGCTTCCCATCCTTTGGTGATTGAACTGACAAACACCTCTCACTATCCAGGGGCTTGCCCTTACCCTCGATGATCTTGCCCAAGGCGTCTGAAGCCACCTTTGCGGACCAATTTTCAGGGTACTGATTTGTCAGACATTGCGCCCTATTAGTTTCCATAGCCTTATCAAATTGCTCCCAGCTAGATGTACTCCTAAAAACTAGATGTACAGTGCCTTGGATAACACTACGCTTATACTGAGTTGCGGCGCAGCTTCTATAATTCAGTATAGTCCCTGTATCTGTTGGTTTTTGTTACCAACAGCAAGTTACACGCCTATCCTGCAATAAATTCATGTTCAAATCGAGGAACGGCAAACTCCCCTCCGAATTAGTTTTCTCTAGAGTGAACTGCAAATTTGGATGAAGAGAATTGGCGGCATCGAGAAGACAACTCGGCTCCCCTCTGACTGTTCTAACAATGTCATCCACATACCTGAGGAACAATTTCACCTGGGGAGTATCCTTCTCCTTGTTCTTAGCTCGGCAGCAGCTTTCACAGTACCAGACTATCTCGGTTATTGATGCGTATACGTCATCGGATAATTTTCCGCATTTTAGATGATACCAGTTTTGGCAACTCTGGCATTCAACCCCCTTTGATTTATATATGACTTTCCTGCTGCAACATGGGCACAAGCCGTTTTTGTCATTAATTTACTGTACCTCCGATCCCACCGGTATTACTTGTCTTAGAGCAAACTCGTACTCTTTCAGCCATAAGTTTGCCAGAATTACAGCGAGGGACGCGCCCATTGCTAAACCATCAACTTATTTATACCATGAATTATTACACTTGAAATATACTTTGCTGACCGCCATATTCAAAAGCCTTTTCATGGTTGCTCTTTTAATTTCAGGAGGAGACTCCTGGCTGTACAGCTTCTGTAAAGCAATTTCAATTGCCTCCTTCAGGGGAACGTTGGTGTGCAAACTTTTCACATCAAGAGATATTATGGTTTCATCCGGATTTAGATCAATGTTTTCAATTGTTTCTCTAGCCTCTTTAGTATTGGTTTCTATATTTGCAAAAAACTTTGCAAGCATTTTGTTAAGATTCTCATACGAGCTGCCTGGAAGTGATAGTACTTGTCGTAGGGGTGTCTCATTCTTGTGTACCTTAGCTAAACCGTACAAACGGGCAGGTCGCCCCCTGTTGACCTCATCTCAGAATATAGCTGATCACTTATCTCGTCTCTTTTGTTCATGGCTAGTAATTCTTTGTTAAGTTCCTTCTCCATTTTCAGTATCACCTCATCAGTGGTTGCATCTTTTTTCACAAACTGAGCAGATTGCAACAAGGATTCCAGCTTTGATTCATATGTTTGTTTCCTCATTATGCAAAAACCAACCCCCTTATGAAAAGGCACAGCCAGCAACTCATTACCTTTGAGATATTTCCTCGTTTTTTCAACGGCTTTGTCTCTTGGGGTTTGCCTTACGTTTTTTGCATATACCTTTGCCGCGTTCAAACTTCGTTCAAACACGAAAGAGAAATCTCAATCGAGAAGGAGGGCGGAGAAAAAAGACTGGTGAACATTGGCGAAGCAACTGTTGTTCGGACTGACGAGGAGGCTTCAACGGAGAGGGTGAGTTAAACTTGTGTTATTTGAGTTGCCTTGTGTCACGTGACGTTTATTCCTCGTGGCCTGCAAACCAATGAGCACAGTTGTACTCCCACCTCCATTCTTGAATTGGACTTTGAAAAACAAACTCATTTGGAAATTAGTCCGTGATTATGCGTCCATATATGTTAAATTTATTAACTGTCACCAACGTGTTAAATTTTTGAGAGTTTGTCTAGAAAACGACATTATACCTGATTTTTTGAGGTTCAGGGTACCGGAAAATGGGGTGTTTTCGAACCAAGCGGTACACAGTTTTCAGACAAAACTTCTAAGAACGGAGATAAACAAGGCAAGGGCAGATGAGAAAAACGTTGAAGTCAAACTAGAAAGGACGAGAGGCGCAGTACAAAGGGGTGTAGATGAGAAGTTTTGGCCTTCGGTAATTAAATATTTAAGTCTTAGGGGACAAAGACAAACAGCAACAGTCAAAGAGACCCATCAGAAGAAGCTAATGAAACTATCAGAAAGACAAGACCGACCTCTTTGGAAGCAAGGTGAGGGTTCGGTAAGAGCTCTTGATGATGTTGAATTACCAAATTGGGTACAACAAGGGTTGGCATTAGGGCCAAAGCATCCCGTCAGGGATAAATTTAATGAGGCACACTTTCTCGCCGACATTGACATCTTTCTATCGGATTTCAAAAATCGTAAAGTCCCCGGGGAGGCCCTTTGTGAGATCGAAGCTGTGGCAAAAGCCTATGCTGAGAGGGTGAAACAAACACCATCTGACAAAGGCGTTGAAAGTAACTGAAGAGTAATGGATTAGTTGCGGTACCGTATGACAAAGGCGTGGGTTTTTGTGTAATGAGAAAGGACACCTACGAGAACAAGTTGTCGGATACATTAGATTCAAATCAGTTCAGCAAAAGTAAAGGAACAAGTGATGCGATTGATTTGAAGATAGAAAAAGACATCAATAAGGAGTTGTTGGCTATGAGGAAAAAAGATGAAATAAGTGAGAGTCTCTACACAAGGATGAGGTCTACTGGGGGGCTTCCCGCCAGGCTTTATGGGTTGGCGAAAGTGCATAAAGTGAATACCCCATTAAGACCGGTCCTCTCCTTGCCTGGTAGCTCTTATTACAACTTGAACAAGGTTCTTGCTAAATTTTTCGAGAAAATTCAGGGCGCAAACATCGAAACCAACTCACTAGATGCGAGAGAAAACTTAGAGAGCACTAATCTTGAGCCCAATGAAAACTTGATATCTCTAGATGTGAAGAGTTTGTACACAAACGTTCCACTGAATGAGGCGATAGACATAGCTCTGAGAAAATTGTATGAGCAAGATGAACCACCATCAATTGCTAGGAAAAATATGAAGAGAATGTTGAACATGGCAGTTAGTCAAGTCCATTTCAAGTGCAATGAAACATGGTACGGTCAGAAAGTTGGTTTGGCAATGGGGGCATCTCTTGCCGTTATTTTAGCAAATCTTTGGCTAAAGCAGTACGAAACTGCACTATCAAGGGATTTTCCCGAAATGTTTTCGCCCGAGAAAGATCTTCACGGAATATGTCCCGAGTGCAATAGGAAAGTCACGTACAGGTCAAAAAGTTTAGAATGTGAATGCTGTTTGAACTGGTATCACGTAAAATGCGGTGATATATCAGATGATGAGTATCGAAATATAAGTGAAACCGTCTGGTACTGCAGAAAATGCATCGCAATAAGGGAGAAAAATAGGTCAGGGCAACAATCTAAATTGTTTCTCCGTTACGTTGATGATATAGTGAGAACAGTGAAGGGTGATCCTGAAAAAGTGCTACGGGCTGCAAACTTACTACATCCAAATTTACAGTTCACAATAGAGACACCAAACACAAACGGAACTTTGGCATTTTTGGATTTACAAATTAGTATTGACAAAAGCAGGAAAATTAGCTGTGGGTGGTATCAAAAACCAACAGATACAGGTACCATCCTCAATTTTAGAAGCTGCGCCTCCCTTCAGTACGTAAGAAGTGTGATTGAAGGATTTGTTCACCGGGTTTTCCGCAGTACGTCAACATGGGAAGATTATGATAAAGCCATGAAAATCAACCGTGAGCAGTGGTTGGATAACCAATATCCGGAAAGTTGGTCGTCGCGGGTTGCATCCCATGCCCTTGAAAAGATCATCAGCGAGGGCAAAAAAAAGAAAATGGCTGAGAAAAAGAAGCCCTGTGGTTATAGCAGTGATTCACCTCCCATCTTGATGGTCCAATTTAGGGGGAATCACAGTCAGGCACTAGCAAAAAAAGTGCGCGATATCACCAATGCGCTGATAATATTCACGACGAGGAAATTGAAAACTTGTATGCCCTCTCTAAAATCCTCCTTTTCCAGTGAACTGAAATCAAAAGTGGTGTAGAGACTTGAATGTTGTGGGTGCAAATCCATCTATGTTGGCCAGACGGTCAGACATCTCACCACAAGGATTGAGGAACACCGAAAAGAGGATACCCCAGTTGGACAGCATATAAGGCAGTGTGGTAGTGAGCGTGGTAAGTCTGAGTTTAATTGGAAAATAATCGACCAGGCGTCCAGCAGCATCAAGTTACTTACATTAGAGGCGCTGCAATTAGGAAAGAGAGACCGGCAATTAACACACGCGACGAGTTTAGAAGTGGAGAGCTGACACTAAGGCTATAGTTCCAGAATCAAAAAATTCTGGCTGAAACAACAAAATTTTGAAACAACTTACATGTTAGCATAAAAATTAGCCACAAAACGAAAATTTGAAAATAAAAATGAAGAAAACTCTCAGAAATTCGCGACAAAACGTTTTAAATAGTTACATAATAGTTGTTACATAATTTCACTGATATTTGTAAAATTTTGATTGGTTGAATTTTTAAAATTTTTTTGAAGTAATGATGTGTGTGACACTTTTTATGATCTTTGATCATTTAGTACAGATAGTTTAGAATTTTTAAAACCTGAAGATGCACAAAATGTGCGAAAACGTTTGTTTGAATTTACAATTGTAACGCATTCTCTAAATAGTCTAACACAATTTTCCAAGTTAGTTTTCTTTTTAAAAATTATCTGAGCCAAACAGCAGGCAAAAGTGTGACATTCGACCAGAATGTGAAAAATGCAATCTCTGCGGGATTCGAAATTTTAGCAGCGAGCCTTCCGAATTAGTGATTTTGAAGGATTAACGACGTTATTTGAACGATGGGACAAAACGTGAAGGTTAAGGGATTCGGGAATTGCTAATTTTTAAATTTTCGAAGTGATTACGTAACATTTCTGAGAAACGTCAGAAACGGCCATTTTGGCAAAAAGGTCGAAGAAAAACACAACAAAATTAGTTGCGCGGACAATAACTTCGAGAATCGTGATCAAAAAACAACAGCAGATTGCAGGAATAGCAGAGAAGGTTCCGAGTTGCATTTATTGTGTCGCTACAATAGTTGCAAGGCCGTTGCGGACAACGGTGAACGGTGGAGGACAGCCTTCCGGATTAAGAAGAAATCAAGATTAACGAGCTTGATTCAGTGGATTCAAGAATCCGGAAGGGTTTCGGAACTGAGACTTTTATCCTTTTATATAGACTTATAGCTTCTTGTCATGTCCTGATTTGAATTTAATTAACAACTGGATTCATTTTGATAAGGATGAGAAGCTAGGAGTTGGGGGAAAGGGTTGATCCATCTTCGATGGAGATGATGATTTTTATCTACTGAGCAAAAACAATAGTAATATAATAAATAGTAGTAACCCTGTTTTTAGGAGTGACCTCGTGGTCTGGGGATACTGAGACCCAGCCATGAACTCACTATTTCTGCATGTAATTAAGTTAATTTGAGTGTTTTGACCGAAGCCGGAGGCAGTAACGTTTTTTGTCGACCCGATTGTAACATTCGTCTACTGCAGTCACACATGAGGCTTAAGAAAAATAGGCCCTATAACCATTGGCTCAAGAGTCAGGGACACTATCTCTTGTGTTTTTCTACCTCAAATCAGTCGGAGCCAATTCGGTTCGTTTGTGACATGAGACTACGACCCGTTACAGCTTAAAGGCTACTACTAAAATATCCCCCCACTCTAGAATTAGGAACGTCCCCATACTATACCCAAAATACATGAACGCCGTTAAAAACCGGGTCGGAACAATCCGCTTAGTTAATTTTTATTGGACAGTGGAACTTTGATCCATTTCAGATGGATCAACCTAAAACTCGCCTTATCTCAACATAACTATCATAAAATACACTCGAGAAATTTAAAATGAGAACTCACATGTCGATGCGCTTGAGTATGAGGAGTAATTAAAAGATAACTAGCTCGAGGATTAAATAATATAACTAAATAAGTTTGATGCTAATTAGTTTTAACAACAGAAGTAAGTTTTTTCTCAAGAATCAAAGTTTCTGCATGAACCATCGGGACACTTGAGTTGTCCTCTCTTCCATTGAATGTTCACTCTGTTCCGTTCGAATAATCGTCCTTTCTCAAGTCTGTGTTCTATTCTCCTGTTTTCGGGATAAGACAGCTCTACTCTCTCCTTATTTCGTATCGAGAAATTGCGAATAGCAATTTCCTGCCTTTTTCTTGAGTAGTTTCCCGCAATTGTTAATTCGGTCGTTCTGATTTTTCTTTTTTTTGTTTTCAGTTGGTTCGAGAAAACTGAGCATGACAGGCTCCATTCGAAATTTTTAAAATTAAAACTTCACTCCAAAATTACGTGTTTCTCAAGGTCAAACCTCCAGACATGACCGACTGGCACATACTCCCCGGACTCGAGATCGATGTCCTCATCGCGTGTTGTCATCTGCCAGTGAGTCCCAGAGAACCGAGTGTTGCTCAAGATACAGTGCCAGTGGTCATTTACAGAAGTTTGAATCGGACTTAAGTTTATCTACCTTCCAAAATTCACCACCATATAAAATTTTCACACTATCGCTAAACAGCAATCAAAATCTGCACACACCTGCACCCATGAATCCCCGCTTTTTAAGCTGGTTTTAAAATCCCCGCTAATTTTAAAATTTCTTTTGTCCTATTCAGTCAGGAAATTGTCATGCATCATTTTGATTTATATAATAGATCTATCATATTAATAACAATATCTTATTCGTCTAAAATTTCTTTTTCGTGAACCCGGATTTCATCCGAGTTCACCCTCGAGCCCCCTCCCTCTCAAGACTCAAGACTCTAGAATTTTCCCTTCGAGCCACCGGCTCACCTCGTGTCCTTCGCCCTCGAGGTACCCGACACCGGTGTTCTTGACACTGTAATTTGTTCCAACAGTGCCTCTTCGTCATCGGAGCTGATCACAATTTTCTCCCAGGCCTTCAGCTGTTCATAGGATCGCATCCACTCCCTCTGCTCTTGCAACCTCTTCGATTGATTTGGTAAGCTCTTTACCTTCGACTCCCGGTTCAAACAGAAGGAATTGTGAAGACTCATGCTTATATTCTTCGCCAGGTCCTCCTCTAGTATCGATTCTCTCGCTCTAGAATTGTCTCTGGATACTCTGCCCACTCTTTTCCACCCGTCGTGATCGCATTTCGATGGGTTAGCAGAGGTCTCTTGAAGGCATCTGGTCCTATCTCGGCTTGGAATTGTCGATATTCCTTTTGATGTTTCCTCATGTGGTCCTTTGTCACCAGATATAACCAGGATGTTAACGTCACACGAAACCAAGGAAAGAATCTCAAGCGGCTCCATATATGTCTGATCTCCACTGGTATGGCGAATACTTTGCATGCGGTCTCGAACAACTCAAGTCTCCTGCTGTAATCTATCGCATGAATCGACTCAGCTGTTGGCGTTCTCGATTCTCTATACTTCGCTATGTTTTCTTCCATCCATCGTAGAGCCAGCATCGTGCTCACCACCAAGATGGTCACCTTTTGTCGATGCTCCGGTAGTCCCAACGACTTAATTTCTTCTATGTCCCAGATCAGACAGAGATTGGCGCGGTCTGGGTACCACACTGTCTGCGCCAGACAGTGGCATGGACAATCCCCATGCGTGAGGTCGATGCTTCTAAGATTGCGTTCTCCCGAGGCTTCTAGGAGAGGCTCAAGTTCCATCATTTTCTCGTGTATCACGTCGACTTCTTCCGAGCTTGGAGCACCTACTGCGGGTTTTCCCACCACGTTTTGCCTTCCATGATCACTTGTGTTTTCGCTCTCCAAGCCTAGGAGTTCTTCACCCCAGATTTCACTCAAGTCGTCTCTTTGTTCCTTCGGTACTGCTCCTCGGATCTTCCTCAACAGCTTGTGTGAATGATGCGACATCCGAGCTAGTCTCACGCACCTGGGCACTGAGAAGGCTTTGTCTATCAATACCCTCTGGCTGGACACCTCCACCATCGCCATGTGTAGTGGATAGTGGCTTCCACATAGGTTAGCCAACACTGACCCCACTAAGGATTTCGCATTTAGAGGCAATCCATAGGCTTCGCTCATGGGAAATCCCATCTCCGCCTCGAGTCCAATCTTCCAACTCTTGATGTGCTTCTGGTTCACTTGTAACACTCCGGGCCATGATTCCACGCTCAACGCGGTCACCAGGTGGTGTTCTGACTCTAGCCTCTCCAGTGACTGGAGACTACACATTCTTGAGAAGAATCCCAAGGCTGTCGCTAGGTTCACGATGCTACTCGCGTAACATTCAGCCACTATCTGTATCTCGCTCTTCTCCCTTTCGGTGATATCCTCAAACCAGGTGATGAGGTCCTCTTTCTGGAAAGACTGTATCCTGACGCATGATCGTCCATCACAAGTATGCTCAGCGCTGCCACATGTCGAATCAAGACAACTGCCCGGCTCCATCCTCTTCACCGACCCTGTTCCACTCGTCACCTCACTCGACTCTTTCATCTGAGGCAGGATCACTCTATGTACTATACTCAAGGTCGCCAAATCCTCATCCTCTGTCGGTGCCAATCTCACTCGCTCAGTGACCCCCTCAATCAGGCTCGCATGGGGATGTGGACACCAGGAGGGTCTGAGTAATTTCC